GACGTTAACCCTTAAAAGCCGAAACGTCCCTTCCAAGGGACATTGCATTAATGGCTATAGAACGAAGGAATTAAGTCGTATCCACAAGAGCTACTATTTTGTCGAATGAGAACAGCCAGAGGGATAGTATCATAAGAAAAAAATCGTGTCAAAATAGTGGTCAGACACCAAAGTGTAGCTTTTAGAGTGTGTGACTTTTCAACCATAGTTGGTTACTTGGATATTTCTGTCTGATGATATATGCAACGTGGATTTCGAGTGATATCATTAGAAATAATTCTAAACTATAATATAAAACAACTTTGTGCGTTTTAAACTCGTCTACTAAGGTGTTTTGAAAGTATAAAAAAGTGCCATTTTATGGGAAATTTTGGGCATAATCCTCAGGGTATTCGCAACTTTTCGCTCTATAGATAATTAGAGATATCTTAAAATTTCATCAGCGTGAACTTACAGTGATCCTGAACCATATAACAGGATCACCCAAGCAAAAATTTGTAACGATCATACTTCACCCAGGTCATCTGGGTGGAAAAATTTTTTAGTCCCACCCAGCACTTCCAACCACGGTTTGTGCATATTGGGGGTTTAAACTCTCTATTTATGTGATTAATTCTTTCTCCATTTCACAAAAACCCTCTTCGGCTTTTAAGGGTTAAATATCTCGAGAACGAAAGAGTTTCAAGAGCTGAAATTTTTAGCGTTTTCATATCTTAGTTAGGACTACATGCTAACAAAATTTCATTGAAATCTGAGGTGCTGATTGAGTAAATGTATGCATAAATATGCTGTAATACCGCACATGAGCTCATAAGGATATTTTTAAAGAAACTTTATGCAGGAAAATGCATTTGTACAAATTTTTGAAGGCATGACTCGATGCATCTTGATGTGCTCTTTCATGTGAGAGTGCTCTCGAAACTATCTATAGCGCTGATCCACCCGGTATGGCCTAAATATCTACTCCATTGATCCAGTGATTCCGACGAGAGAAAACTTTGATATTCAGTATCATCATACATCATCAGATACTTTTAATACCATCAAACGATAGTCCATTACCAATAGCATTTTATGATAGAAAAATCACGGTTCTATCTACTATGGTTCGTAAGATATTGAAAAATTACTGAGGGTCATTGAACAAGAGACGTGGTCGAAATGATTGTTACTTATGACACTTGTCCTGCTTATATCTCCTGAACCGATTATTCGTTTGAGCTGAAACTCTGGATTTATTCTTAACATGTCATGGCCTACTTACTGTAAAAACATCACCCAAATCGGAGATGGTCATTGCGCAAAGTTGGGTGTGGCTTAGGTGCAATGACTCTTATGATAATGTAAATGATGGTATTTTAGTCAAAAGACGATAATAATATAAGAACTACAAAATAAAATTAGAAATGTGTCTAATTCGAAATCAACTCGAATGACTTTATTCTCAATTTCATTCAGAACAATGGCAATCGAATATATCCGAATTGAACCTCAAACAAAACGGATTCGTTATTATTTAGGCAGAAGTGGTTTACTTCATATTCAAAACATACAATTTTTTTTGGAAGAATTCGTTTTGATATTTAAATTTTCAAATATTAATAGGTCTTGTTAAAAATGAAATTGATTCAACACGAATTTGTCTTTTGATCAATTTGAAACATTTGAATTNAAAAAAAGAAAATATATTTGTACATTATTTCAGGAAAATCAATCAATACAATTAAAACCAGAAGAAAATCGTAAGTTAATATTTTGCCAAATGTTCAATGAATTCATATTTATGTCTCTTTTCAGCAAATTTATTTGAAGGTGATATTCGTTTTCCTGTTGAATCAAAACCGACGGGGAGTGTAAGTTTACTCTTCGATTGTCGTTTGGTATTTTAATTTTCGCACTTTAGCGTAGCGTGGCACGTCGTGGCGCTTCTGTGGCCTGGCCAAATGGAATTGTGCCCTATGAAATTCTTCCAGGATATGGTAATGTTTTATTTCAAAGAAGAAATTCATCGTCTGTTTTTCGATAAATATAACTATCTTGATTTACAAATCGTAGAAGATTTCTGGAAAGAGAACTGCGTTGAATTCTATCAGACAAATGTTAGTTGTTGAAAATCTTCATAGGCGATTTTTGAGATACCTGTGATATCTCGAATTATTTGTGATGAAGTTTTGTGAATATAAAGAGATACGAATGTATATTTGTAGCATCAAAGGAACAAGCATTTATTATTTCCACAATGCAAAAAATGGAACGATTAATCTCAGTTAACAATTACAAATGTATTCAATTTCGACCGAAAACTCCGTCGGATATTTATTACATAAGTATTTACAATGGAATTGGATGTTCATCTTATGTGAGAAGGGTCTTTTCAATAAGAGTTTATTTGATTTTCATTCGTATTTCAGGTTGGACAAAATGCTGGTGTTACTATGCAACGAACTGTCACATTACAACATCCAGGATGTGTCGATGAAGGAAGAATTATGCATGAATTATTACATGCATTAGGTAATGAAATTACATTGTGAATTTGTTCTTTTCTTAGAAAAAAATAAAGCCGAGATAAAAAGATAACGATTGTATATATAGGTTTCTATCATGAACAATCTCGACCAGATCGTGATAATTACGTTAGAATTAATTATGCAAATATTCAACATGGTAAGAGGAAATCTTTTCCATAGGGAAAATCTAATTGCTTTTCCTAATCTTTTAGGTATGGAGTCAAACTTTGATAAATATTCTAATACAGTTGTCGATACTCAAAATACTTCGTTTAATTATGGATCTGTGATGATGTACGAACGAACGGCTTTCTCAGTAAATGGTCTTCCAACGATAGAACCGCTGCAACCAAATGTAACAATTGGACAACGTGATAATATGAGTACTATCGATATTGAAGGAGTTCGATTGTTTTATAATTGTTCAACATTTACCGTCACTTTACCACCAATCCCAACAACAACAACAGGTACACAAAATTATATTCCCAGAACTTATCTTTCAATTAATAACGAAAATTGTTTTTTGAATAGCTAATTTGTATGTCATAAATACAACAATCTCTTCGTCATTAACAAAAAATAGTCCAAAATATACTCGTTTCAATGGTTCAGAACCAAATTACAATTATGATCAATATGCAATTATTGTTCCTGTTACTGGTTCTTATATTTTCATGAGTTCTAGTTCAATGAATACATATGTCGAATTCTACGGTCCAAGATCGGGTTCATTGTATTATACTTTGATTGCATTTGATTGATGATAGTGCTGGAAATAAGCAATTTCAACTTGAAATGTTTCTTCAATCGAATACACAATATTATATGAGAGTAACAACATTTTCTCCAAATGTAACCGGAAATTATACAATTATCATATCAGCATTAAATCGTGTTAATATTCAACAAAATGTCATCACTACGAGTAAGTTTATTGACCCAATTTGGTTTCAAATCAACGGAATTTTTACGAATTCTTCTTTTGATTTGAAAACAATTTCTTTTCTTTTAGCAACAACAACTCCTTCTCCACCTCCACCAGATCCTCACCCTTGTTTTTCCGGTGATAGCTGGATCGAGTTATTTGATGGACAACGAAAAAGAATCGATGAATTACGTAGTTATGATACTCTCATTACTGTCGATCAATCTAATTTGATAAAAACAGAAATGGTTGTGATGCTTCACAAGAATAATCATACTATTGGCAAGAAATAAAGAATTTTACTCTATTTTTTTAATTTATTTTGATTTTCTTCGTTGAAGCTACGTTCCATACTCTCCAAACGGAATCAAATCATACAATTAGTTTAACCTCTTTACATTTAATTCCAATTGTTTCTGTAAAAGGTAATTTAGAATATATTCCAGCAAAAGAAGTCCAACTTGGTGATTATCTCTTTGTTCTTTCTGACCAAAGAAAATTAATTCGTTCAAAAATCATTCGAATTGAAATTGAACTTAAACTAGGTTACTATGCACCTTCATCAACATCTGGTATGTTAACATTAGATCATTCTCATACTTATGAATTCTTTTCTTTTCAAGGTACATTGATGGTTAATAATGTTTTAGTAAGTTCCTATGCTAATGTTCATAGTCATCAATTAGCACATCTTGCAATGGCACCACTACGTTTGTATCATTATTTATCGAAATATTTACCGATAATCAAAGGATTAGATGAAGACAACAAGGAAGAATTTCATTGGACAGCCAAAACGATGTTTCATCTTGCTCAACAATATTTTCCATTCCTATTACGATTATCCTAAGAAGATTTCATTGGGTATAAACACATTTTCTCATATTCCGGATGATTGTTCTGCTTAACATTTACTGTTTTAATCGAGATTGTTTCAATTTTATTCCAGAAAACTCTTTTTAATCAAAATAAAAATGAAAATGATTTATTTAATCATGAAATTCAAACGGGAGAATTAGATTCACACGAAATCAGATGAAAATACAAAAAAAAACCGAGAGAACGTTTCCATCTCTCATCTCCACCGATTGCTTTTTTTGTTGTTCCATGTGCGAGAAGCCAAAGTGTAAGTTTTGCCAACTACCTCATTTAGTATAGTTCTACGATATAAAAGAAACATTGAAAAGTCCTTTGAATTAACTATGGTACTGTTAATTAAAAGAATAACCTAAATATTACAGTATATATATATATATATATATATATATGTCGTGTCGAAGTTACACTCTGTGTCGAAGTTATAACTTGGACAAAATTTTTTATCGAAGTTACAACTTCGACAGACAAAATATGTGCCGAAGTTTAACTTCGGCACGACATATATATATCACAACACGTTGAAAATACTTCATTAGATATACGAGAACTATTTAGCTCATACTACATGAACTTCATTCAGAATTCACTTCAATAGAGTGTGATCATCCAATTCTATCCTATTTCACTATTCTTTATATCCAATTCCTCAGTTAATATATGTGTGTTTCAATTCATAAATAACGACTTGTGTTGATTTGATTTTCATTTGAATCCTTTCCAGTTGAAAAAGTTATAGTTACAATGAATGGACAGAATCAAAGGTAATGATATTATGCTTGAATCAACCAACATGACCGTTCTTCTTATCTCCACTTGTTTTCTTAAACCGATTTTCCTCAATTCGCAGTAATGCGACATATAGTCTCATCGATATATAAATGCGTTGGATGTCCCACCAATAACCGAAGAAATACAAAATCTTTTTTTTCTTTTTAATTTTAAGAACTGCTCTTTCTTGTGCGAATATCTCTGAAGGGCTTCTCTAATCAGCCAATTGTCTGTATTAAAAACTCTTTTTTTACAGATAAGCAATATCTATCATTCTATTCCTACATTGTTAATCGATAGGAATTAATTTCAACAAGATACCGACAAACGAAGACTCACTGATTGCTCCAATCGACATAAAAAATCCAAATGAAGCTGGTACAATTTATTTTGTCATACACAAACCAAAAGATGAATTGAAGTAGGGGTGGAACATTTCCGTTAATTTGAAATTAACGTAAATAGTAACCCGTTAACCGTTAATATTAACGTTAACGGTTTACGTTAACGTTAATATTAACAATTAACGGGTTCCGTTAATTAACGGTCGTTAATTAAGTAGAATTAAATTAAATGGTCCACCCACGTAGGATATCCTAGCTCCGGATTTGAGTATTTCTTGGCCGGATTCGCTTGTGAGAGCTTTCCAACTATCGGAACATACTTTCCAAATGTAACTCGACGACCTCTACAACTTTCACTAACGACACGTATTCGACAGACACATCCTTCCCACCGGAAAATGCTAAAAACCGATCCCAATCCACGAAAAACCTGTATTTTATCGTCTAGTTACGTTTAAAAGTGCTTTCCAGTGAAACAAACATTGGTTTGAGGTAGATTTCGACTACCGCTATTGATTCCATACCTAATATATCAATTTCCAATATGCTGTCATCAAGAACAACGCTAATTAGCAATAGACCAGCTACATATATCCCTTCCTTATCACTCATTCGTTCATTCTTGTGAACCAATAGAAGTAAAGCAATGGAAAATATTATATTTTTCAGAAATTTTACTGTGATAAATTGGCCAAAACTGTAATTAGTGGTAGAATAGCCTTTTGTCTGAATTATTTGATGTAATTCGAGCAGAAAACTATATATATGCCGTGGTGTGGTTTGTTTTCAGACAAACAGCCTTTGTTCTGAACTGATTATCAGATTCTATAATTTTCCTGATTGCTCAATTTCTTCTGTTGAAGAAAGAACATGGAAACAAGTGTGTATTGAGACAAAAATATCATCTCGCAAATTTTCTGGAACTTAAATTTAAAAATTTCAGCAGTTTAGAACTAAAAATGAGTTTTTTTCCAGAAATAACAAACTGAATTTTTTAATTGAACGAATTGGGGTGTGGATGATCTTTATTCATGAAATACGAATTTATTCCCTCTACTGAAAGGAGGGTTATGCGTCGAGCAGGTGTTACAAAAAAAACGAGTTGATGTTGGTTTGTTGGTTGGTTGATTCGTTGGTTGGTTCGTTCTTTCACATCACTGTTCGATAGTGACTATTCAGTGATCCTAGTGGAGGACAAAGTTTGACCGGAGGGTAATCGAGGTCGAGGAATCTGAATCCGCTGTTAGATTTCTGAAATTCCAATTAGGTAAGGTTGGTGTAATGCAAAAATCAAGCAAAATTTTTTTTTGTGAATTTTTTATGAAATCCGATGCAGTTTGATGCGCTGCATCCGAATATGTATGATTTATTTAGATAAAAAGTTTTCTTCCCGCTGAAAATCGAAAAATACTGCAAAAACTGAAGATTTAAAAAAAACAGGTTTTCGACTAGGATTTTGACGATAGGGTTTCGAAAACCTTTACTATNTTCCGTTAATTTGAAATTAACGTAAATAGTAACCCGTTAACCGTTAATATTAACGTTAACGGTTTACGTTAACGTTAATATTAACAATTAACGGGTTCCGTTAATTAACGGCCGTTAATTAAGTAGAATTAAATTAAATGGTCCACCCCTAATCATAATAGAGATCTATTGATTGAACAATAAATTTCTTAGGACATCACTGAACACATATTATTTAGAATGAAAATATATCACATAGTCATTCATGATACTATGTTTAATTGACTCGGGGTGAAACGAAAATCGAAATAATTTTAACATACGTATGCACCAACACCAAAGCTAGTTCTCAAGTTTTGACATTGAAGTCTTTGTTTAGATGGGATTTGAGATTCAATAATTCGATTTGGTTTCAGAATTATTGGTTTCAATCCTAATATTCTGATCCTTCAAATCTACCTCGGTTAATCTTGAAAATGATACGATCGTATTAAGCAGTGAGAAATGAAAAATAAAAAAGTGCTTATTCATCATTGAATCAATGTCGACAAATATTTTCGAAATATCTGTATTTTCATGATGACAATTGAAATATTTTCTATTGAGAATAAAAAGACCTGCTCTTTTCTTTAGAATCGAATCAGAGATTAATTTTTTTTTCTTTTCAGATAATTTGAAACAGAAAGAGAAAAACAATGAAATTAATCTTGATTATTTCATACCTTTTCCTTCATTTCCAATCAATCGTTTATGGATTTCTCTGTATTTCTGATGGATTGTTTGGTAATCCCGATGATAAACATTCGTTTTATCAATGCTCATTTGGAACTGCATTTTTAATGCCATGTCCAGCAACTTTAGTTTGGAATCAAGATAAATATGTTTGCGATTGGGATAAACCATCACCACCACTACGTACGAAAACAAATCATTCAAGGAAAACAAATTTCATTTTCCTCTCTTTCTTTTTTTAGTTCCATCAAGTTGTGATTCAAATCCAATAAAAAATTGTCGAGAAACAAGTCAATGGACATCGGATGGAATTGCATTTGTTGGAAAAGATTCAAAATGGGGTTCAGATTCTCAACATCTTGGATCACCTTTTGGTTTATTTATTGATGTTGAACATGGAAATAATGTTTATGTTGCTGATGTCGATAATCATCGAATTCAAAAATTCCTTCGTGGATCTTTAGATAATGGAGGAATAACGGTTGCTGGAGGAAATGGTAAAGGAAATGCTTCAAATCAATTAGCAGAACCACGTGCTATTTATGTTGATAAAAATGAAAATGTTTACATTGTTGATAATGATAATTATCGAATTCAATTATGGAAAAAAGATGCAAAAGAAGGAATAACAATTGCTGGTGGAAATGGTAAAGGTATAGAATTAAATCAAATTGGTGCTTCACAAGGATTATTTGTTCATGAAAAAACCAATACTTTATATATTTCGGATTTTTATAATGATCGTGTTGTTAAATGGGATTCAAAAACAAATCAAGGAATTATTGTTGCTGGAGGAAATCGTGGAGGTAAAAATTCGAATCAGTTATCAATGCCAAGAGGAATTTTTGTTGATGATTGTGAAAATATTTATATTGCTGATTTATTTAATCATCGAATTCAATTATGGAAAAAAGATGCCAAAGAAGGAATTACTGTTGCAGGAGGAAATGGAATGGAAAGAAATACGAATCAATTAAATAATCCATGGGATGTTAAAGTCGATCAGTTTAAGAATATTTATATCGTCGATACGGATAATGCACGAATTGTTAAATGGACACAAAATCAAACATTTGGACAAATCATTGTCGGAGGAAATGGTTCTGGTAATAAACCAAATCAATTTAGAGCAGCACATGGTTTAGCTTTAGATAAAGAAGGAAATATTTTTGTTAGTGAAAGACTCAATGCAAGAATTCAAATGTTTCAAATTGATCAAAAGACAAATTCGTGTTGAATCAATTTCATTTTTAACAAGACCTATTAATATTTGAAAATTTAAATATCAAAACGAATTCTTCGAAAAAAAATTGTATGTTTTGAATATGAAGTAAACCACTTCTGCCTAAATAATAACGAATCCGTTTTGTTTGAGGTTCAATTCGGATATATTCGATTGCTATTGATCTGAATGAAATTGAGAATAAAGTCGTTCGAGTTTATTTCGAATTAGACACATTTCTAATTTTATTTTGTAGTTCTTATATTATTATCGTCTTTTGACTAAAATGCCATCATTTACATTATCATAAGTGTGGAGATAATGGCAATTGAAATCATACCTCTCTCTTCTGCACCCAATGTCGAGTGTAAATTGAGATTTCTTTCAAACTGTTTTATTCAGCAAAGAAGAAAAAAAATATAATGTATATCATGAGCTTAGTTCTGTGCGATGAAGTCAAAAAAGGCTTGATCAATACCAAAAAACGAATGTCAATAAACTAAGAAAGGTAAATGTACCAAAACAGGAGTAATGATCAACAGCACTATTAGAGACTATTGTTGTTTTTGTAGTGTTGAACAAATTGCTATCCATCAATATTTGTTTGACACGATTAACTGTTATATCATCGTTGCATCGATCTTTATTACATGAATAGATCACTGTACTTTGTAGTTGAAGACTAGCGGCATTCGATGTTATTATCATAAGACCAGTCGGATCAATTGCTCCGCGTGGCGAGATACACGCTCGAGTTACGACACCGCTTTCACTACTGAATGATGCTTGACAGACACCACCGTTGCACGTCACTGCTTCATTTCGTTCATTCATACACGTTGGATTGTTATTTGTTGAAGACTGGTGCAGAGATTCAGCTAGATTGCTCCATACTGAGTCAAAGTGCAACATCTTAACTTGATGATAAATCTCTTGAGCACGATCTTCACCACAGAACGAGTCGCTTGTGCATGTGTAGGTGAATGATTGTGTCATTAATTTCTTTCGAAACCAGATAGTTGTTGTTAGAGAATCCAGTGCTCTGTTATTGAGTAGAAATATTGGAATTAAATCGGCACTAATGGGAGAAGTTGAAAAACTACTTTCACCTGAGGGTAGTTTAATCGATAATAACGTAAAACAAGCGTCATCTACAGTAAACGTACAATTTGTTGTGTCAATTATACTATCAGCGGTATAATTAAGACTGATAGAGCAGTTGTCATTATGACATCGAACAGCAGATACTATGATTGTAGTGTTTAGAACGATTAATAAGACAATGATCAAAATTTGACGAGACATTATTTGAAAAATAAGAAATGAAAATGATGAAGAGCATATACTTTATTTCATACACATGTATTTATAGTAATATAGCTGTTAGGATGACACAACGTCTTTTACTAATCTTTACTCGTATTAATCATACTTTATTTTCGAGTCAATATCTCATATTCCACCTTCCCAGTCATAATCATACATGAAATTCAAAAGCAAATTGATATTATTTATTTAGAAACGGATCTTTTCTAATATTCCGATAAACATGATATGAAATGGTGCAGGTATGGGTAATTAAGTGTATAACAGTTATTCGTACCTGCATTATTTCAAATATTATATGCTAAAATACTGACGCATACCTCTTTCTGGATAAATAATGTAATCTTAGTTTAATATTTCTTGAGCGATTATGATCTGTAAAATGCAATATGAGATATTGACTCGAGGGTGACGGTGATTAATCATACATTAGCAATGTGTGACCGAAGCAAATCCACTTAAGATTTTGTTTCGATTTTTCATGCGATAAGAAACGTGATTTTATGGGAAAATCATTTTAAAAACAAATCAATTTACAACAGTTTCTTATTTACTGGTATTGTCAGTATAGGTATCTTCGTGGTATATGTTGTATTATGATATAGTGGCATTTGGTATCTAGATAATATACAACAAATTCTTCATGAACTTAATATTGATGTTTCAACTGGACTTATTTTTTGTATTAAGATTGTCATTTTAAACTAATTTCCATAATCCACGACAGTACGGCATCTATTTACATTTAAAATAAACTTGTTGAATGTTTTGATAACAATTGAAGAGGTATTGTTTCTTTCAACAATTGTTTTCTTCAATTTTGAATATCTTCGAAGATTTTTCTTGCAGATCAAATGTTTATATTAACAATCGAAATCATATCTTATTCATAATTTTTTCTTATAAATAAACTAAATCTTACGTCATTCTGTATTATTGTTTTTGAAGAATCTATTTGAAAAGACGAATACGACGTACATATAGAGAAAGAAAATATTTGTAGATAAAAGACGGTTATGACTGTTTCATATCATCATTTATGAAATACAAAAGAAAGAAATAATCTTTCATTCTGATTATGAATACAATGAATAGAAGACTGTAAAAGATTTCATTTATTATGAAATATTTGACAAAAACATAAATAAAAGATTTATCCGATATTAATTGATAAATTCTGATTGAAATCAGATAATTTGAAACCTTCAGGAACAAATCCTCCATTTGGTGTAATTAATTGAAAAAGACACGAATCAACAATAATTGATGTTGTACCACTAATTGTAAAATCTTGTTCCACTTTTAAATATTTTCCATGTCGACGATTTTTGATTGCATAATAATTTGAATTTGGTTGTTTTTCCAAAGTAAATATTTCCCATGTATCGGATTCTGGACCACGAACACGAAGAATATCTTGAATTGTAAAATGTCGATTTAATTCGGTATTTCTTATTGTTCTTCCTGTATCTTTTGCAGCCCATCCTAAACCCCAGGTTTCTCGATAAGTTGGATTTTGAATTGAAGCATTTGCATAAACAATTTCTGAAATTGGATTAAAAGTTAAATAAAGTCCAGTTATTTTTGATTGAATATGAAAAGTATTTGTATTATCCATTGATTTTGGATCATAACCGTTTGTACATTTAGTTGCATTTGAATAAGTTATTGGATTACAACCAGGTAAACGTGAAATCGGTTCAACCATTCCAATATTTTCTGTTAATGGAATTGATTTACTTAATTCACAATTTGAATCAATTGATTTTTTAACAAATGATTGAATT